TTAATAAAAATTATTACGGATGTTATAGGGTAATTAACATTAAACGTAAGTAATTTAAAAAACCTAATAAAGATAACTGACTACGTACCATTTTTACACAGAGTGACAATAATAAGCAGCATAAGACCTCTATAACTTTATTACTCTATGTCATATCTAAAATCAAATATTTAGATAATTTACCTTGTTGATATTTGTCAAACGTCTTACTAGAATTACAAGGAGGAATTACTTTGGGAGGAACCAGGTTTACGCTTAAACTAATGGAATTATGTAATTTCAATATTGATGTGAGAAGAAAAAGTAGCGAATTTGTACAAATTTCAGTGATGCTTAAAATCACGATTATATAGTGCTGTCGACCGCGACTCCGTCCGCGTGGAATTAACAAAAAACTGAATGAAGCCTATGTGTTCTTCCAGACAATATTCTACATCTATGCCAAATTTCAGGTAGATCCATAGAGCAGTTCTCGTGATACCTTCAAACAAACATCCATATATCTATCCAAACATTCGCATTTATAATATAAGTGGTATTATGTTATAGTTAGGAAATTATGTAACAGAAATATCATTTTTTAGCTTTACATAAAACACATACATAAAACATAATATTACCAAAATATATAATACCTATACCACATATAGCTAAAAAGCCAAATATTTAAATATAAATAAAATAGCCTTTTTTTCATTAAAATAAACTATCTAGCATCGTTAATATAATAGTTTAGAATTATGTCTATTCTTTATAATCAATGGTATCCAATAATAAGATATCCAAGTACAACGAAGTGAATTTCTTTGAACTATTGTGGAGGTAACGCGTGTAGGAAGTGTGATAGGAACTCGTACGTGAGACAATAAGACTTCGCAATCAGAGACTACTGTCGGAAGAGCATCAACCAACTGTACTTGCAATTAAGTACTAAAATGAAGATACACGGTGTAACATTTAACGTAAATAAAAGAGTACAAATTGTTTGTGTTATTTTGGAGAATTATTAAATAACGTTAATTAATTTGTGAGTGCCTTTAAATATGGTGAAGACATTAATATATTAACCTAGAGCGTATCAACTTTCCTAAACAATACATAACATCAGGATTATGGTAAAGCGTTATTTCATTCGTAATAAAAAAAGTATTCATAAGCTTCCAAAATTTAAAACTATATTCTGTTTAATAGAATGTTACTAGCCGACCTCTTTATAAGTCTAAACACAAATCTATGGCTATTTAATTTTTAAATTAAATTGCACTTAAAATGTCCGCATTAAGTACAGTTTAATACTCACTTAATCAGTCCGTAAGTGTCCTCTGAATGTGTAAGTCTTACTCATTTATATTAATACAACGATAGTATTTACATCAGAACTCAAACCGATGGTAACTAATAAGGACGCTATTATTTATTAAAAAAAGCACAAACGCGAGTCTCTGTTGGCTCTGAATGCATTATTCCAAATATATAATTAGACACTGTATACTTATAAACGTGTTTAAACCCTTTGGCCGCCGGTAATTGATATTACGGACGTCAACCATGTTATAAAAGGGTATCTTTTACCCCTAAATACATATCACCAAAACTGCTTTCGGTACAAATAGGTAAGTACTTTGTTATATGTCATGATTACTTTTCGGAAATCTACATATATTTTAATATTCGTAGTTTCTGGTAATAATCTAATTGAAATACTAAGTTTTTATGGGTAAGCCCAGTATGTTTACTTATGTATGAAAATCATATATTTTTAATGCAATAATCTGATAATATAAAAAATGTCGTCACGGCTATCCCATGTGCGTTATCAGTTGTATTATTTTAATTTTTTGTACATATTTATTCATCATGTTTATATTTACATAAACATGTCACTCTTACGTATATTATTCTTATCGTTCTCAAAATAGAGTTCAATTTCCACCGTAATCTAGCGAAGACAAAGAAAAACCAGATGACTTAGATCTGTAATAGTTGTTAGAAAAATTTCTTGAAAATAATTGGTTGTAAAAAGTTCAAAGATGTAATTTCAAGTTTCATTGCACTCACAAGAGCTTTTGTAGATTTTTCTATTTTTCTATTGTTACTAGAAATTTCTAAATGCTTCCGCATACATAACGTAGTTACTGTTTTACTCAAAAATACAGTTAAGACGTGTTTTAACCCTTTGCCCGCCGCCGATAGTAACATTTACCTTATATATGTACTACCAATACTGCTTCAGGTAAAAGTACTTTGTTATTAATTAGTCAAGATCGCATTTAGGAAGTCTTAATATGTTTCAATAATTATTACTTTTGAATAATTTACGTCAGGCTTAATGCCTGGTAGTGCCTAATTCATGCGACAAAAGATTGACATAATGATTAAGTTTTTATGAATAAGCCCGTATTATTCACATAATCCTACAAGTGCTGACACCGAATTGTCAACTCTTTGCCCACCTGGTCTCTCCTCACCTTGCAATCATCTAAAGCGGAAAGTAAAATAAAGCCATACGGCTTAGTCAGCAAATATTTTTTTGTACAAATTACTAGTTTATATTGTTTTATAAAGCTAAATTATACACCACGTGTAATATTTGTTAATGCATTAAGAAATCTTACGTCAAACTTCTCATGTCATTCGCAACCGAGTTCAGAGATATCATGTTTCAAATATTCCAGAGGAATCCAAGAAATTAGTTTCTAATTGTATTAAAAATACCGAATGACATCAATAACTTAACTCCCGAAGTTTTTTTAACATATTTTCAAAAAATAAAATCATAAGGTACGTTTCCACTAATACTTGTACAAAAATTAATAATTAAGAAGACAAAATGTTTTGTGCGCTTTTTTCGGCAATGGAAGCTCACTTCAAAGAACTAGTAGTGTATTTTGATTTATACACTCAAAAAGATTAATTTTATCTTATCCACTATTACAATTGTCTTCTAACGTTCTATGATTGAGACTTCAAGGATACAATTAACGTAGGCGCCGGTTAAAAAATGATTGATAAAAGTATGACTACACATTGATCGCACTTAAGATAAGCTATCAATATAAAAGATACAATCAGTACATAATTTTAGCCTGCAAGCCTTTTTCTTAGACATAAAAACAAACCACTCGAGATTTTATAGTTTCAGTATATAGGAAAACGGTTTTTATTTCCGATGTTTTTACGATGAATGAAAACATCTTGATGCAGACTATACATATGTACGAATAAATCCCAATCATTCTGCAATGGGCCAGAATAGTTAACTGAGGCCTAGTCACCTCTAATTTAGGATTAATAGGGAGCCTCTTGATTGGATTACATATTCGTTCTCTAGATCATTACATAAATCAAAAGCCTTTTATATAATACTTACACAAGGTTACAAATGAAAACTTAAACTTAAAATTTATGAATCCTTAGACGATATGAAGGTTTACGCGTGTGAAAATGAATTTTGTTTTATTCAGTGTACCAAAGTATAAAAGATCCAATTACTGGCCTTGAAGAAGAGTATTTTCGAGGTATTGGTATTTCATTAAAACATGTTTTTTTTTTTAAATTTCAATTAATATTAGTGAAAAGACAGACTCCTAACCAAAAAGCGCACTGAAGGCAGAGCAATTAAGAAGAAAAAATAATTAAATACTACAAACTATGAAATAATGTAATTTAATAATAATAATAACACAAAAAATAACATTAAAATTCTATTAATTAAATTAAAGCAAGACATTGTAAATTTTTAAGTTCGTCCTGTGGACTCGAAACATTCGAGTTGAAGTAGCATAGGAATCTCCCCTTGACAATAAAATGTCAGAGTAATCGGAGAAAAAAGTAAAAGCTTATTAAAACTGTTTTAAGATCATTTTATAGTATTCTATCATTACCTATCTCAATTAGTTACTTTGCTTATATATTTCTAATCTTATTAATAACATGCGTATTCCATATAACTGCACGTGTACACGTGAACATTTAATCCACGATCAAAATTGGCTTAGATTTATGGTTTATAAGTTTAAATACCTTTATCCTAAAGCAATTCAGATTGCATATCGTAACGCGATACCAATTTTTATATACGGCAATGAATATTATGTCACATTGATGTTTTACACTTGACTACATTTTAAAGGATAAGTTCAGTGACTTTCCAGTATACGCGTGAATCAATATTGTTGTCTTCTTTTAATTAAAAAGAATGTAAGAGATGACAATATGTATTTGCATAAGTGTACACTCAGTTCTAGGCTAAACATTACAACTGTGGAACAAAAATTACTAGTAGAGACCCCTCTAAGACAGTAGTAGACTTAAAAGCCTATCAAAGAGATTGTCGGTAACTACTGGAGTAGCCAACATCGGACAGGAAGGCATAGAATAATCTGGAGAAGACTCTCTGCTCTATGCGGCCATTAGAAGGTCAAGAAGAAGACCAAACATCCATGATAAAAAAAAACCTAGACTTTATACTTCACACAGTTTATATTTAAGACTAATCTAATTATAAATGTTATGTAAAAGGAATATAAAGCTGTTTTATCTTTATCCATCACGAGCTGTTGCCCGCGACTTCGTCCGCGTGGAATGAAAAAAACTTCATTTCCCGGCAATTACTCGATTTTTTCTCACCTTTAAAATCTTCCCTAGACTTCCACGAACATTTCAAGACCAGGATAAGATAAATCCGTTCAGTCGTTCCCGAGTTTTAGCGAGACTAACGAACAGCAATTGATTTATGTATATATAGATTTTATGCATATTTATTTCCACAGTATTTTATCATACAAAAAGCAATCCAGTGCTTACGTTTGTGAGATAACTTTGGGTTATAATGTGAACTAATAAAGTAATAAAAAGAAATATTATTTATGAATTTCGTATATTTATCTTAGTTATTATGGAATTTGTACATTAAATTATTTTATTGGAACAAACCTTATCAAAAAATTACATTAATTTTTTACACATAGAATATCATTTATTTCATATTTTTACAACACTTTTTTACACAATTAGATTAAATAATATTAATTATAATACTGAACAGTCGCTATTACTAAATTAAGTTTTTGAATCTTGCAATTAATACGCTAAATATTCGCTGAGGCCTTTCATAATGCGTACAGTACAAGTTACGAATATAAAAAAAAACTTACAATTTAAATACAAGAGACATTTCGCTTTTGCATTTTTAAGTACAAAAACATTATCTTAAAAATCGAAAAAATGTAGTTAGACATTGTTTAGTTAAACATGTGTTTTAACCCTTTAACCAGCGGTGACTGATATTACAGATGACTTAAACAGATGTTTAAGCCTTAAATGTGTATGACCAACCACCACTGCTTCCGGTATAATAACGCGGTAATTTATAATATCAGCATACGATAAAAGGGTTGACATGTTTAAGCTAAAATACATTTGAAACATCGTCTAATTTTTTTACAGATAGGCCTAATAAGTTCAATGAGTTTAACTCATTTGGAATGACGAATTTACATGACCAGATGTCTCTCGTTTTTTCTTTTCTAAAAATGGAATATCGAATAGTTTTTGATCTCTTATCAACTCCTCGGCTTCTTCGAAAGTCTGTGGCATATCTCTTCTTGCCGTTTCGGGCAAGATAAAAGCAAGTATTGCTCCCAATCCTGCAAGGGAGCCTACTATGACTAGGGGAAGCCATACAATATAAGTTTCTAAGTATACAATATATGGAGAAATTACAGTGGCAACATAACCGCAGATATGAACAATCGATGTACCTGAGCCTCTCACTGGTGTCGGCAACATCTCTGCAGCCCACTGTATAGATGTGTTGGTAGATATGTTCACAAAAAACCTGGCAACTACTGCACATAGAACTGATTGCAAGCCGCCTCCAACGAAAGCTGTCGCAATACTAAATATACAACACAATGAAAAGGAAATAATAGTTAACCATTTTCGGCCAGTCAGATCTAAAACAAAAGCTACTATCACCAACGAGGGAAATTCAGTTAGTGATACTAGTGTAAATGATAGGAAAAAGTCGAATCCTAAACTACCGACGCTTCTTACTAAGGCATCAAAAACTATCATACAACACATGTAAACCACACACATGGTAATAAAAATTTTTCTTAATACAGGCCTTTTAAGTAATTCTAGAGAGCTAACACTCTTTTGTTTTTTCTCGCTCTTTATTGACAATTTAAACTGTTCGATAAGTTTCGATGGTATTTCCTTTTTATTGACTTCACCGATTTTTATAAGTTTGTTTATAGCTTCATCAACCCGGCCTTTTGATAGTAGCCATCTTGGGCTTTCAGGAACAATGAATGGTGTAAATATGGCCAATGCCATAGTAGAACTTGTTACCAAACCAATAGTCTTCCAGTGGCCGCACGCTAGAGAAATCCATGGCAGTGAACTGACGCCAAGTGTATAGAATATGGCAAAAGGCAAATTGGCAATAATCGTTCTGTACTTAGGCGCTACAAATTCAAGTACCAGTAGATATATCATCATCATACAGTTATCATAAGACATTCCCATGAAAAAACGGCAAATAGAAAACTCTAAGAATGACGTCGTAAATGTACTCGCCACACCGGCTATACAGCCAATAATGTTTGCAAATACAGCTGCTGGAACTCTTCCGAATTTATCAGCCACCCATCCAACCACGAAGCCTCCTAATATACATCCAAGAAAGAATACTGATTGCGCAGTAGCCTGATAACTATCCTTGTCACATACCCATCCCCAATCACTGGACACAGTTGGGTATGGTATTTCAGTCTTATCAAATTCCCATCCATTTTGACAGCTCTCAGTTGGCCAAGATTCGTTTGGTTTTATTCCGCTTATTAAGACGTCACTCCAATTTGCTGAATAAACTGTGCATTGTGAGTATCCGAAACGACCATCGCTGTCTGAGGGAATGGCCAAAGTCCGGCGGTCATGTTCACTCAAGTTCGCTAGCTCTGGAACCCAGCACCAATGATTTTGTGAAGGTTCTGTCATAAAAATTTGTGAGTAATATGAAAATGTACCAAATATGTAGAAGGGAAATGTAGCGAAGAATAAGAACCATTGGTATCGACCAAACTCCCCAGCTGATGATAGTAATTGATCGTAGTCCACTTCACCATTTGATATGTCATCTTTCTCCGAAATATAATTTTTCGATGGTATTTTCTCACTGATGACTTTATCTTCCATTATTATTGATAATTTATGATACTCTTCTTGTTTATATTTACTTTAAATTCTATCTTTGTTCTTAAAGAACGTTTGTTGTCGAGTCTGACTTAGAACTGTGCAGTGTATGTTTAGCATTCTCTTTATATAATTCTCATCAAATGACGAAAAGATAAAGTTATACGTTTATTTGAGTATCGTGGCTTACATTTTGTTTGTACTATCATATATAGAGATTAAGAGATTTTTATGAAGAGTATATCATCAATATAGTTATATATGTGTATAGGTTATTTCACCAAATATGCAATTAAATGAAAAATTAACAAAAAACTAAATTAAAAAAAAATTAAAAAGCATGTTAAATTGTAAATTACTAGTATTAAATTGTTCTATTTATTATTAATAATTTTTTGTCTTTACACTATCAATGAAGATTTTTAGCTTCATTATAAACTTTATATGTTAAATTAGATAAAAATTCATAATAGTAAGTAATATAGGTAATAAAAGCAACAATTCAAAATTAGAAGCTATCAAAATTTAATTCTTAAATTGATAAAACCTTTGTTATTATGTTCTAAATAAAAAAGCTTATAAAAATCAGCTTACACACAAAAATATAGATTGTGAAAATAATTTAAAATATTTGACGAACATTTAAAAAAAGTATTAGTAACTTTTGCGGTTGATTTGTCTCTTTAAGGAGGGACATATTTAGATATATTCACTATTTGATTTAACTATTTTACGTAAATCACCTAACTTCTTGTATTGTATCAATAGAGAAGAAAAACGAGATCGGAGAAAATTATTGCAAAGTTCATTATGTTGAAATATAAAATGTTAATTATATATTATGCGATACATAAGTAATATGGAATAGTAAATACCATCCCTTGTTCTTGCTTTGGATTTAGAGTTTATTGATCTTATTCTGATTGAAAAAATAGGGATAACATGAGTCAATACATATGTCATAGTAATCGAAACCCTAATAGGTTAAATCGTAACTGTTTTTTGAAATGCTGACATACTTACAACATATTGCCATCTCTTTCCTACTCTTTGAAATTACAGAGCTAACTATATATTTTTATACACGTGCTCCTGAAGTTGAAACTTACGGTAATTGATATTTCATCTCAATGACACCTCGGTAATAGAGTAAGAAGAAAATAATAGGAGAGGAAACAAAAGCTATCTGTGTTACAAGCACCAATAATCGTTATTGTTGTTACTTATAAAAAGAAAATATTTCTTAAATCCAATCCTCGAAGAAAAAATTACTATGTTAGTTAAACGTTATTAGAATATTTGTAAAAAGCAAAAAAATAATGATAATTTTTTTTTAGTTTTACGTCGTTTTTACAACATATGCAGAATTTAAATTTATAAAACGGATAAAAATTAATCACCCTATACATTTATATTAGACAATGTTAATAATTTTCATACATCATACATATGTAACAAATTATAGTGGACTAATTATTTACATAACATGTATTTATGTATTGAGAAATAAATGCGCACATTGAAACTGCATTTCTGCTTAACCTTATGTTCAAGTACATTTTCGGTTGAAATGAGATTCATGATAAGATGTCTGGAAGATAAGGTTCCGAGATGTGAAAATAAAAACTTCGCACTCACTTCTATTTATCTTGCTTAGGTACTATTTTTCTATCACAAAGGTTAAAAAACTCAAACAAAGTTGCACGTAATAAAATGATGCAATGTATAATATTTATTATATTAAGTACTAAGAAAACATAAAAAAAAAATTATAAATATATTTAAAGTTTACAGATATGTTACGATTTAAAAAACTCGTTTGATTAGATTGATTATAATATAATAGAATATGTGAAAGTTTATATTAAAACTTACCGTTGATGTAAGGATGGTTTTGATTCTGGAAGTTGATCGTAAAGTTTACAAAACAACGAGCACTGAAGCACTTTATTCTAGCGCGGTCGCGTTTGCTATGGTCATCACGCGACGCGCAATGGCTGGGAGCTAAACCATTCAATAGGCATGCGTGTAAACTCCCTAATGACTGGATGAGATTCTCCATAGATTTCCGGACATTCGCGATCAGTTTTTACTACATACGTTAAATGTTTCGTATGTTCATAGCTTACTTTTGTAGCGTTTGCATTTAAAAGCGTAGAAAACGATTATTCGGATGTTCCTTTTAAGTTGGAATACCTCCAATTAAGGCGATTGTATATACGTTTTGTATAAAATATATTTAGCGTGAAAAGCAAGTTGTTTATCATACCCCACTAACTTATATTAAGTCTTATTGATTACTTTGAATGTTTGTGTAGTTATTCATACTTTTACTATATATTTCATGTTGTTTAAAGTTACTCGAAATAACTTTATAGTTTTCTAACTTAGAATGTTTATAGTGTAGGATTTTAACAAAATAATATACACCATAACTATCGTAGTATGAGTGAATGCAAACATATCGCTTGTCATACAAAATATTCTAATATACTTACGTATAGTTGACAGTAAAAACTGAAAAGATAATTGTTAGATCCCATGTAATAATTACTACATTCACGTATTTACGTGTTTGTATTTACATGTCAAGGCAACTTGGCAAGGTTTATGTTAACGTGGAGGATTTAAATTATTAAGATAATTAACGATATGAAGCAATAATATTATGTACAATGTGGCTTAAATAATTTACGATTATATGCTGATAAAATAATAACGTCATCGGGAAAGATTACTTGACATTTTAATATTCAACTAATAAAATTTAGAAGGCCATTGCCAAGAAACGTAGCAGTTTGTTGGTTGATGTTGCGAGATATTGTTTCCGTGTCTTTCCACTGCCGGAGCTGTAGCACTAAAATATTGTTCTCCACCTTAGGCTTTTGAAGAAAATTATGACAAGATTACGATTTTCTTCTTATAGTTCGATGTCATCGATGACCAGTGAGTAAATCTACACAGTTTTAAGACCACAATCCTGCAGTCTTTTTTTCAAATCATAATTCACAATATAGGAAAAATAAAAACATATTTCCAAAACAAATAAATAGTAAAAAAAAAATCTCTTCCTATTTTTTTAATTTGCATTGGAGACAGCAGCTCTTTCATTTCTTTGAATATTTTGATCACTGTAAGGACTTCTTAGAAAAAAATAAAAACACAGATATCGTATCTATACAGACATTTTCCAGACGAACGTATTTATCAATTTGACAGATTCGGGAAATCGATCAGACACTATTTTACATAATGTGCTAATCTATATCATAATACGCAAGCATCGCTATAATAATAATAATAATTTCTAAAGGTAGATTTCATCGAGATCGCACCAGCAAAACTAAAAAACAAAACGTTAAGTTCGCAAGATTTGCACGAGTAATGTCTATATACTAGTATATAAAAGAAAGTCGTGTTGGTTACACTATTTATAACTCAAGAACGGCTTTACCGATATGGTTGAAATTGGTGAGGAGGTAGCTTAGAGCCAGGAGATGGACATAGGATACTATTTATTCTTTTTTTTTATTTAACTTACTAATATTACAAATGCGAATGTTTAGATGGATGTGATGTGGATGGATGGTTGGGCTACACTAATTAAGTTTTTTATATATTCACGCGGACGGACGCGGGCGACAGCTAGTTTATATTAAAAATTGTAATAAACTCCATTTACTGCCATCTACGTAATGCCAAGGTATTAATACCTAATGGTCGTAGTACAACATTGATAGCATAGGGGGCGCACTTTCTGACTAATATTTAGAAATGACTATAATTCTGAATGTATTGACTGTTGCAGACATGTGCCAATATTAAAAAAATATTAGTAAACCCAATGTTTCTTACTGTAAAATATTTAGTGTAATTAATTTAACACAGCCCCCGACGGTTTCAATATTCATCCAATTTATTTTTGAGTTTCCACTGTTGAAAAAGATGTATAAAAGTAAATTTAAATAATCAGGGTGTTTTCAAAGAGTCAAATGACAAAATGTTAATGTATGTGTTTCGCAGTGGTAACTCACGATGAGACATGTGAAATTTAAAACAGAAGTAATTTTCTTCCTAATTTTCAAAATAGATGCGGGATTTGAAATAAAAATATAATTATTTTATTTATTACAATTATATTTAAAATTATAATAAAAGCTAAAAATTATAAAACATCTATCTCAATACGACTAATAAATTATAAATATCTATAAAATATGTTTTTTAAACAAAAAACCTACTTAATCACCTATATTTTTCATTATCGAATTAATTTCATGTAAATGTTAAAAATAACTAAAATGGTAACAAAATCAGAGCTTTACCAATATAGAACAGTAATAAAAATAACATTCACGACAACAGTAATAAAGAATAGTTTCATATTTTTAACAACAGTGAATTTAGAATACCGAATAATCTGTACAAAAATTGTAAGCGATTATTTAAAAGATGTGAACGTTGGCAATATATATTTGGACAAGCGTTGAAGCAGTGAAAATCCACGTTAAGATTCACTTACATATTTAAACAATGTCCCGTACAGCCTTGTCAATAGTATTAGGAGGACAGTTTAACGATTAGGGTTATTACACATATAGATAACAAGAATCAATTAGAAAGTGAAGTAAAGGAATTGAAGAGTGTTCACTTTTCTTATAAATAAATAACATAGAAATTATATTTGTATCGAATTTGTTCACCGATCAGAATCAGTGATGATATATTTTTACTGAAGGACCCCAATTTTACATACTTTATCAGTAATCAAATATATCGTAAATTATTTCTGGTAAATTAATGAAACAAAGTGAGACAATTGAAATTAGTCCTAAGAACATTAATAACACAAGAATCCAACAGCAGCTTGGACGTTTTTTTTTAGGACTATGATTTTTACAAATCAGCGAGAACCTTGTCTTTTTCGCTGCGCATCTGTTAAAAAATATTAAAAATGTAATAATCATCAAAATATCATTTCAATCAAACTCCTAAACAAAAAACATAGGGGATAAAAGTTTGGCGGCCATTACGAAAATTATCTGTGAATATTTTTCAATTTGTAACGAAAACATACAGCTGTTAT